TAGAAAGTCAAAGGGTCTGTCAGCCATCTGTAGGTTGTCCAGTAAAGCGGAATAAATGTTGTGTGGAATATCAAAAACTGATCTTTCATTTTCATTAGCTCTACATTTAGTTAGAAAATGTTTCACAGTTAGCGGAAACCCGCAGGTCTGACATTCAGTAGGTGGTTCATGGGCCATTAGGTTACCTTGGGTCAGGCGTGTATGGCCTATACACAACTACGTCAGAATCACTTTCTCTCTTCGCATATTTTGGAATGAAGATTTCCATGGAAAGACATCACTTTTAACTTCCCTCAGTTTATTTCCAGAGACTGGTAACCACTTTTGTTCCCATTTTAATTTTATCCTTTATTTAATGAGAGAGATAACGTCTTTGGCAGAGACTCACCGATTTGATATATATAAAAATAGGCAATTTAAGTCCATATATCAATAGGCTAAGTAAGGCAAACGTGGTTTTCTTTGTTGGAAGAATAACATTTGAACTCTAGTAAATTGCAATCCTTTCTTTCAGTAGTATAATTGCTACAGATGGATGAAAGAAAAAAATGATGTTGTTGACCATTACTCACAATCGAGGCTCCCACTTCTTTGATCCGTCCCTGTAGATATAGTCAGCATCCTAAACAACTTCTTTAAAGAAAGGTAGATCTCAAAACTGGATCAGTGATCGATTTCTGCTGTTCTTCCCACACAAAAAATAATTTTAATAATTTCATTATTGAATTACCTGCTAAACAGTCTCTTTTTATATTTAATTAGTGAAGAAAAATAAAATTTGTCTTGTTTTAAGTAACTATTAAACTTTATTAAAAAATGAGATTTTCTTTAATTGGATTAAACAGTTGTTTTACAATATATTTATATTCCATTATTTCTGCTTATTTATTATTAAAGTTTTGGGCAGAGATAGGAACAGATCATGTTCTTGTAGTAGCTGATACCAAGATATTAAGGGACAACCAGCCACATTTGAAAACATAAAATGTGATGAAAGTCCGAGCTGAAAAGAGATCCCAATATAATGCTGTGCTGGAGAAGAGAAGCAGAGGATTGGACCTTGCAGGACACATGGAAGAGCAATAGAATAATTGCAAAACATGTATTTTGAGTGTCATTAAGAAGGTTTGTGGCATTAGAAAGATGAGTAGTAGAAAAAAACATACTAAATGGTGGAATGATACCATTAGGCAGATAGTGATAAAGAAAAAAACAAGTATGGAAAACATATCTATGAGATAAAATTAATGCCATCCTAATTCAATAGCACAGATTTAGAAATGAGGCCAAGACAGCAATCCTTTTAGTGAAAAGGAAAACTTGGGAGCAGTTCGGCAAAAGTCTGGATGGAAGTCGCTGAGAAAATATCCAAACAGCTTTGGCAGACAGTAAAGGTCTGGAAAAGAAAAAAACAATCAGGAATATAAAAGACAAAAGAGGCAATATAGTTGCTGCCCCAGATGATATTTTAGACCAGTGGAAGCATCATTATCAAGATCTTTTATCTGAAGATTGTGGAACACCAGCACCTCTTGCTTCAATGCTCTTGATTTTCTTCTTATACACAGTTTGCATTAGAAGAAAATCAAGAGTCTATGTAAGAAGATGAAGTAGAATATGCTCTTGAGAAGATAAAAATAAATAGAGCAGTAGGAAAAGATGGAATTGCACCAGAATGACCTGAAATCTGGTGGTGAAGAGCTCCAGAAAGCAATTCAAGGATTGTTTGAAGTTGTATGGGATAGCAAGATAATTCCGAAGATTGGGAGTACAGCGCTATAGACCCCAGATATAAGGAAGGCACATATATTTTATGTGAAAACTACAGACCGATTAGCTTACTATCTGCAACTTATAAAATGTATACATCTATTCTTGAAAGAAGGTTGGGGCGTATGATATAAAGCCAACTTGAAGAGAAACAGGCAGCCTTCAACCACAGAAGACAGACACAGGATCACACCTTTGTACTCCAAAATATTTCTGAAAAAGTATGGGGCAGAGATAAAATTATCTCTTTGATTTTTGTAGACCTCAAAGTTGTGTTTCATTCTTTGCCCTGACATGAAATATGGAATGCTCTCGCTGTAAAGAATGTGCCATCATATTTACTACATGCTATTAAATCTATATATAGGAATGTAAAAGGAGTCATCAGGATTAATGGCAAATAATTCGTATCATTCTCTCTTGATAGAGGGATCAGACAGTGAGACTGCCTTAGTCCTCTCCTGTTTGTGGTTTTGATTCGTGGGATCACCGGAAATGAACATGCTGACCTAACAGCCAATATGGCCTACAAGTAACAACTCTGGCGGTATCAATTAATGAAACCTTTTTAAAAGAATACTTAAAAAAATAAATAAGAATGTGTGGGAAATGTGACCAATTAAGTGGGAACAAAACGAGTCTAAATTAAAGAAAGTAAAAACCCACTGTTCAAAATGGGAAACTTCTCACCGATCCTCCAAAAAAGAAGAAACATCCCTATGTGGATTAAGGATTGGGCATTTTGAATTCTTACATGTCTACTTATGTTAGTAAGAAGACTTGATCCTCCAATTCTGTAATGTTCAAAGAACTATTACACATGTTTTACAAAACTGCTCTAAACTGAAAACTATCAGTTTGAATATAGCACCAAATCTAAAAAAAAAATTAAAAGACAGTAAAAAAACATTCACATTCTGTGAAACTCTATAACAGAATTTAATTAGAAATGTTTGCCAATGACCCTTCATGGTAGTAGTAACAAAAATATTGTTTAATTTTATTTTTATAGACTCATAATAAAATTTTTAATAGAATAAATGCAAGTTCAAACACATTTTCACAGGCATCTAACTGCAGAGCGTGAATTAATAAAACTTGATAGACATCTTAAACAATATACAATGTCTGGTTTTCTTGATCCTGTGGAGATATTAGAATTAATTGAAAAAACAGATGTAGATCTTACTAATCTTGTTTTTATACATCAAGTATTTGAAACACTTTCAAAGGTAAACTACATTCTTATTATAAAATCTTCATAAACTTATTTATTTATTCTACCAGTTTGTGATATTAAGTTATTGAATATGTTTTATAGTAATAGTCTTTAATGTTTTGTAAAATAATATTTGTGAATGTGAAAATGTGATCCATAAATGTTTAACTATTATAATTAATCTTATAGTTCGAAACAGTTATCAAGAATTGATAGAATGACAAACAATTTATACTAATAATGAAGCTTACAACAAATGATTTATGTTACTCAAAATTTTTGATTTTGTAATAATCATCCTTTGCTTTCTAGATTACAAAAAATAGTAAAGGGCGTTTGAGGGTGAAATCAAGAGCAGTTTTAATGAAATTAAAGGTAATTATAATTACAATTTTCATTTTATTTCAAGTTTAATTTAAAATTATAAGGGTATATGAAGTTAATTTTATTTTTAGTCATTGTTATCACTACCTAAAGGAATTAAAGTGGAGAAGTATTTGAATGATTTGTTGATAAAGAACAATGTAAGTAAACTAAAGCCAGAAGCACCAATTGAATGGATGATCCATTTATTAAACTTTTTATAGTATAGTGGAAACAAATTATGTTAATATGTTAAAGATATTAAAATTTTTATAGTATAGCAGAAACAAATTATGTTAATATGTTAAAGATATTAAAATTTTTACAGTATAGTGTTAAAGATTTATATATATATATATATATATTTATCCATAGAAACAAGTTAATAAATTCATTGCAATATTTAATAAAATGTATTTTTTTACTGTTTACTGTTTTTTTGTTATGACCAAACTTCGCTTACCCAACAAAAATAGAGAGGGGCGAGAATATCATTTCCTCCCTCCACCGATATTCAAAGAACAAAAATTAAATCAAAATCTGTAACAATTAATCTACATGAATGAATAAATTATGTAAACTAAAATCAATTAAAAAAATATGAAAAGTCAATCAGATGGCTAAGCTAAGGCCTAGAAGTAAGTAAGCAAGTATTTTATCAGATCTTGTATTATTGAAATTGTAGTTAATATTCAAAGGTAATTAAATTGTTTAGTTTATATTGTACATATACTTTGGTATTATGCTGTTTATATTATATTAATTATGTCGATTAAGTTAATTATCACACTTAATTTTATACATAATATAAACCCATATTTTGGAGAGGGAGGACCATTGCTCCCCAACCAGAATGGAAAGTCCCATGAAGCTGTTCCAAATTCTATACAGAAAAATAGAAGTATTATGTTTTTTTAAAAGTAAGTTACACTTTTTTTTTTCTTTCAAAGTAATCTATGAAAATTTATTTCAAATGAAAGTAGAGTTTGTCATTGTTACAGCCACGTTTTCCTTTATTAATTTTTTTTTTTTTGTTCTTTCCTTCCTCGTCTTTTAGGCTATTAGGGGCCTTTTAGGGGTTTTTCTGGGCCAGATGGGGCGAGGGATCAGTACCAGAGTTAAAAGATCCCCAGAACTGGGGCGTGAACTCAGAATTATTTTGATCAAATTAATCTCATACATTAGGTTGCCGGGAGATGGTGGTGCCCCTTGTTACAGACATTTAAAAACTTAACTAAGTTCTGTTTTTGAAAAATCAGGAATTATCCGTGACTTTTTTATATTAAACCAACCAATTATACTATGAAGCTATTCACAAAGATTCAGCCAGATGTTAATAATTTGATCACTATTGATGTTTATTGGAGTACGTTTAACTACATGAAAGATGAAGTGTTTACTGGCTTATTTTTACAGTGATAATTTTCTTTATCTAATGTAATAATATTAAACTAATCCTGCACACCCTTCACCTAAGGACTTGACTGTATGATCATTTTAATTTATAATATTACAATTAGAAAAAAAAAATAAACATATTTTGATGTACATATTATTTTTAGACACGATGTAATGTGATCACACTGCAATTTATTTTGAAATATTTAATTTAAAGAAAAAATTATTGTATATAAATTCATAGACTGTTGTTTCTACTGCTTTATTTATAACTTTTTTTGTGATATAAATGGGTTATTCAAGAATGTGTTGTATATTAAGTATAATATAAGTATTTATAATATAATTAAATAAATAATATTCGCACTAGGAAAGTTGTTTTAATGCATTCAGACTTGGCACTGCAAGTATAATACTTGCTGCCATTATGTATGCTGAAAAGTTACTCACTTTTGGATCAGTCAATAGCAGAATAAAGGTAAGCACGTAGCCAATTTTCAAATCATGAGTATTGGAAGCACATAACAAAAGCACTGTACTGTACCATCTTGATGTTTCCAACATTTTTTCATCATCCTTACGTTTCGTCAGCTGGCAACAAACTTAAAAAGTAAATTTTTAGAATTTTCAATACTTTAAGATAAAATCAGGGCTTGAAATTAAAATTTCACATTTATTTAAATCATATATGTAATCAGTTTCAGTATGACTGGAAATTTCGGTTGTTGTATTTTGTTCTTTAGGAAATAATATTTTTTTCCAAAGAAAACTTTAATGAAAATTGTTGTAAGATTTTTATTTTAAAAACCTTCCATTAATACTTTAATTCAATTTTGATTAAAGTTCAATTCCTTTTAAGTTATGGAAATATAAATATAAAAAGATAAGTATAAAAAATAGTAATTGTACACACCTTTTAGTTACTTAAGCAAAGGAAATATAAGAATCAGGCAATCCATTCAAAACAAATTATTTCTTTAATCTATTGCCATTTAATATTTATTTCTAATTTAATAAAACTTTTTTAAAAAATAAATTAATTTATTTTAAAAAAAGTTTTTTTTTTTTTTTTTTTTTTTTTTTTATTATTTCAATGGAATTTACAACTGTATTACATAGAGAATACAATAAGTAAATGAGAAATTTGTAACATGGCATGTACAACATGAAGAGAAATTACCCATTGGTAGAACTCAAATTAAAGTTCTATATTAGAAGATCCCGAGGCCATCTTCTTTTCAGACGCCTCGGAGGGTTATCAGGGATCGAGGAGGAAGCAAGGTTTGAAACGAGAGGATTCGGATGATTCTGCAGTTTGTTATGGAAGGAAAGGTATCTGGATTGGGCCAGATCGGAAACATATGGAACATTAAGGTCTTTATGGATGATTTTATTTGTGACAAAGTAAGGAGCGTTGAGGATTTTACGAAGGATTTTGGATTGTAAGGATTGGATACGAGAGGAATTCGATGGTTTAGTGGAGCCCCAAAGCTCAATTCCGTAAGTCCAAATAGGTCTTATTATTGTCATATATACGAGTCGTTTATAATTGATTGAAAGCTTAGATCGTTTGTCTAGTAAGTGCTGCAGTAAAAAAAGTTAAATTGTTAAAATAGGCCCAGATTTTTATCACATGAAAATTCTTTGTAATATCTATTTTAAAAATATTATTTATTTATTTATAAAAGCTACTAACAGAATTGAACTTTATCAAAAATTTCCATATAAGTTTCAAGCCAGGATTTTATCAAGGATAAAATAATATATCCCGTGGCAAAAAGGTGCCATATTTCATACTATGCTTTGTCCTTATAAATTGATCAAGTCCACAGGCCTGATGAGAAAATGCACGTCTGCCAGCATATAGCCGCTGGAATACAAAATGGCGACCATGTGAAGATAGATAGATTGTAAGAGACCTTACATAGGTTTTAAGCGTAAGTATAAAGAGATCTTATAGATATCAACCATCTTATAAGCTATCAACCATTTCAATTTATAGTATTTACAGTCTAGAGACATTTTGCCTCTGAGTGAGCGAACCTGGTAGCTTTATAGACCTTGGGCTGTAAGTATATATACATATATATATATATAGAGAGAGAAAGCTTATAGATATATAAAGCTATCAATCCTTTCAAATTTACACTCATACCACATGAAATAATAGTCAGTTACCCCATAGCCGTGGATTTCAAGTCAAAATAGGCGCTACAGTCTATAGCAATGCAGGCTTTTCGGTCGCCATCTTGAAAGGAAAAGGCGGATAGAAATGTTGATGGAGGAGGATCATCCTCGGGTGACCTCTAATTTTAAATCCAAATTTGAAAAAAATCGGTCCAGTAGTTTCGAAGAAAATGCGCGGACGGCGGACGGACAAAAGAATTTTTATTTCTTTTTCGAATTCTACCTATCCTGAAACGTAAAACCTCAAATTTTGAGAGAGCATTAAGTTTTTAAATTTTCTGTTCGATCACAATGGTTGATTGTTGAAAATAATAAACCAAAATTGGGTATACGATTCAAAAAGTTTACTTTTTTCGGTTTTTCGCTTATATCTGTGAAACAATACGTTCTTCCTATAATTATTTGATATGTGAAATTAATGCTGACAAAGTTTGCAATAGAAATATTGATTACTTTATTACTTTTTTTCGCTATATTCTATAGTTTCCGTGATATCCGTACTGATAATTCACTAATTAAAAAAAAAAAAATGTTTGCATCGTATTTTTATCATTACGTGACTCGCCAACTCTTTATCTTTTCATTTTACGGCAAAGTCATGGAGATGTAAGTTGTCTAATATTAAATTTTCTATAAGAATATAGATAGATAGAAAATAAACTTTATTCTGGGACGAGGTCCCTTATGAATAACAATTGTGAACAAAAAAAAAATAAAAACCACGTCTGGCCAAAAATTACATTAATTAACATTAAAGAAGATATATAGTATCTTCAGTGATAATTCAGTGATATATTAAAAAAAATAAAAAGTAACACCAGTTTAAAAAAAAACAGACATTATTTAAATGAAAAGAAAAACAGAAATCGGGTAAAATAAAAAACAAAATAATATAAGCATGGGTTGATTTTTAAAATTAACAACTCTTACAATTTCAACAACCATCTGCCTCAGTAAAAATTTGTTTTACAATATCTATTTCATTGTAAAACGTCATATTGGGATGTGAGAAGGAATTGGTAGAGATGATATTTGAATGAGGACAAGGAAGAGGCATGGCGGATTTCAGAAGGTAAGGAATTCCAGAAGGCAGTGGATCGGGCAGTAAAGGAATATTCAAATGCCTTAGTTCTATGGGAAGGGATATGAAGGTCGGAAACACGGTGTCTTGTTTTGTGGGAGTGGATCACGGGTTTGAACTGTAGTAGACTGTAGATGTAGGGTGTTAATTGTTTGGAATAGAAATGTTGTCTGCGGAAAGAAGGGAAGAGACACTTTAACTCGTCGTAAATGGGGAGAGAAGTGCCGAAGACAAATCTTAAGCAGGAATTCATGAGTCGCTTCAATATGTTGTGGGCGGGGTGGCCGAACGGATTAACGTGTGTGCACAGCGCCACCGTTGCCCGGCAACCTGATCTATGAGACATTGGATTTAAAATAGTCACGAGTTCGCATCCCGGTGCCGGAGGAGTCTTTTAAATCCCCGCCCACACCCTCTGGACCGAGAAAACCCCGTAGAGCATTGAGTCGCTCCAATCTATCCTCGAGTATCATCGGGGTACCTCCGTACACCACACAGCCGTAGTCAAAGTGGGGGAAATTAAGAGAGGATAGCTGTACCGAGGCCCTTTGTCAAGCATGGATATCACGTATTGGAGTTCCGCACTCATCAAAACCGATCGAGGGTGTCAGTTCAAATATGATCTATTCCTGCAATTGTCTTGTCTAAGATTTTAGTCAGAGAGGAAAGTTCGGTTAGGTGTGTAATGGAACAATTGAGGGGACACGTAAACCGCTGTCTATTTAATTAGGTACTCAACATTCATGAATACCCATTTGCTTTTCACTTGAATAAAAACATAATTTGATTATAAAATCGAGAATAAATGTGGCCTACAAAAATATTGGGACATTTGGCATGATCTCTACCCTCAACATGTCAATAACGGTGTTATTCCGACATGGTAGGGATGAAGGTTATGCCAAATGGTCCAATTTTTATGCAGGCGATCTTTTTTGTCAATTTTGTGATCAAATTATCTTACGATTTAAGAGGAAAGCAAATGGGTATGAGGTTTAAGTACTTAACTAAATTACTTAATTTAACAAGAAAACGTCAAATTTCTGAAAATTATCGTTGATAGAAATTTTGTAGGTAACTAAGATAAAGCCATTCACGAATTTTTATAAAGATGTTAAAGATTTGATTAAAAGGGTACCACAAACTAATGTTATAAAATATAAGGAACAGATAAGCCTTATTGTTATGATAATAGTATGTGTAAATAAAAGTTTTAGATTCAAATGGAATAAGTCATTATTAAATTAAGTTTGATTAACTGTGAAGGATTTCATTTAATTTGTTATACTGCTAGAAGACCGCTTTTATTCGCTTATAAATTGTAACTAGTTTTTATATATCTAACTATGTCTCTTAAAAAATGATTAAATGGCTAATACGATAGGTTCCCTTACCAAATTTAAAAGTGGAAGAAGCAAGTTAGAAGAAGCTAGTGTTTTATCCATTCCTGCGACAAGACAAAATTCTGTAGAAAGTAGCGCAGTTGCGAACGCCAAAGAATTTTGGGATTTTGTCTTCGTGAAGCGGGTCACTCTAGGATTGTTTGCTACTGAAAACAGCAAAAAAATAAATAGACATTTTGAGGAAGCCCTTATTAAAGTGCATTTTTATTTTACTAACTTATTTTAGAAACATTTTACTAAATAACTTTATATGATATTTAGCTACAGGAGATTTATTGTTAACACATGATTCGTTGTACCGAGTTCGTAGTAATACTATTAATTATGGAGGTTGGTGAGACAATATTATATAACCACACCTTCAGGCTACTTGTTACTCATTTTTGAACTATTTCGAAACAAAACACAAACGCTTATATATAGGTCGAGACTTGGCAGGTTGGTGGGTTTAAGATAAGTATTTTTATTATTCAGGTATTGTTTACTTCTAATTAGTTGTACTATTGTAGAAATTTTTCAAAGGCCTTATTTGTTTTTACTAAAAACGAAATATAATGTGTTTATATTGATAAGGAAGTTGTAATATAGTCAATTTAGATTTTCCCTGCTAAGTAAGCTGATCGTTATACAATTAATTTTAAGCTGTTATTCCAATTCCAATTAATGTTTACATTTAGTAACAACATCATAATATTATTTTCGTAGAACATAATAAGTTTAAATATAAATGAAATAATATAAGAAATGTATTATAAACATAAATAAACTGCAACAGAAAAGTTATTTTCAAAAAGAATTTGCATTTATTCAAACATAAGATTGATGCCAAAATAATTCAATTTTCCGTTTTTATCAAAATTATTTTCTATAAATTTAAACTAGGGCACAGTGGTGCACCTTCTCATAATATCAATGAATTGTGGGGTCAGGAGAACATTAACGGGTGCCAAATGTAGCGTTAGTTTCAGAAGATTCTCAGCGAAGATTTGGAAGGCAAAGAAGATCGAAACTGTATTTATCTAGTTGACAAGAACCAGCTGAAGTATATAATGGGTGAATAACAGATCGAAACCAAACGAGAAATGGCGTTAGAATTCGGCGAGAACCAATTCAAGATTGCACGACACCTGGAGGTCTTTGGAGAAACAAAATACCTCTCATTTAAAACGAGCTAAAACTAGCCGCTTTGAAATCTGTTCTCTGGATTTAACACGCAATAAATTTGAACCATTTCTCAATTTCATATTGACTTGTGATAACAGATTTTAATAACAAAAGGCGAACCACCGACACATTTTCCAAAAGTCAGACTTCCACCCAAAAAGAGATGGTTACAAAATGATGATCTTTTCCAATTGTTGCAAGACTATTACTGGCGCAACTTATTTCTTCAGCTTTGGATAATGAGAAGGGACTTAAAATTTCTTTAAGATAATTCCTAACTATTTGTTGCACAATCAACGCTGGGACTACTGTATCTGTTAGGCTACAAAATTCTTCACCAGATTTGTCTGACCAGTGTACTACCGACTTTCTCTATATCAAGCCTTTGGACAACATTTTACAAAAGAAAATGTATCAAAGATAGAGTGATGTTGAACATTTTTTCGAGAGTTTGTGTTTTTTAGGGATCTAAATTTCTTTTCTGGTGGTGTTAATAAACTTGCCGTTTGATGGTAAATGTTTATCAATTGTGGATACTTATAGAATATGAAAATGGTTCTGACTATCAATTATGAGGAGTTGATCGGGGGGTGTGGTCAAATAAATACTAGTAATAGTATTATAAATAAATAGTATAATTTAATTTTTGCCGACGTTTCGACCCACTTTGCAGGTCTTCATCAAGGTTACAAAAGGTACTAAATATGGGGAAAATAAAATAAATGAATATAAGTAGATATAAAATAAAAAGTTGTCTGATAAAGAAATAAAAAGATGATGTCAGAGATATAGTGTGTGACAATGTAGTTAAAATATCAAGTATTATATATATAGAAGGTACAAACAAAAATGGAAAATAAGTATGAATAAAAATAGAAAACAAAAGAGAATATAGCATGCAAGTTAAAAGTAAACAGATTACGATAAAAGATAAGGAATGAGTGTATGACAAACTAATAAAGATTACATTTGATAACTATAGGTTAACAGATAAAGAAAATGAATGTTAACGAATAAAGAGATTGAAAAATTGAATAAGTATTGATATAGTAAATTTAAATAAAGAATAAGATAACATAATAATAAGATATCAGTGGATAACAAGGTAGTGGAGGTTACATTTGATAACCGTAGGTAAACAAATAACAGGACTAAAGGTTGTTTGTTTACCTACGGTTATCAAATGTAACCTTCTTTATCTGTTAACCTACAGTTATCAAATGTAATCTTTATTAGTTTGTTATACACTCATTCCTTTTAACTCACATGCTATATTCTCTTTTTTTTTTCTATTTTTATTCATACTTCTTTTCCATTTTTGTTTGTACCTTCTATATATATAATACTTGATATTTTAACTACATTGTCACCCACTATATCTCTGACATCATCTTTTTATTTCTTTATCAGACAACTTCTTATTTTATATCTACTTATATTCATTTATTTTATTTTCACCATGTTTTGTATCTTTTGTAGCCCTGATGAAGACCTGCAAAGTGGGTCGAAACGTCGGCAAAAATTAAATAATACTATTTGTATAATTTAGTATTTATTTGACCTCACCCCCCGACCAACTCCTTCTCATATTATATCACGTTCAATCATCTCTACATCATAATTTATTTTTTAAATTAACATATAGCAAAGTTTCAATAAATATAAAAAAATCTGCATCATTTTGATATCAGACACATTTCAATCGTCAAAGGGCGTTAAATGTTGTTTATATACACATAATTTTGCAACATTTTCTAGGGGAGCACATTCTCTCTTGTTAAGGGAAGGGAGCCTACGCAATCTTTAACCGGTTTCCAACCTATCCAATCCTAAGCATGTTTATAAGCGTTAAAAACACATGACGTAACCCGTTAAAACGGGAGGAAAAAAAAGTCTGGTCGCGCAACACACAATTTTCACTTATCTTTCTACTTTTAATAGAAATTATTTTTTGCCAATGTTGATCAGTTATAAAAATTTTGAAGTACACTTTTAACGGAGCTGTAGCTTAAAGTTTACAGTTAACAAATCATTAGCATTATTAAAATAACAAAATTATATTAATTATATTATCGGTAGACCAATCTCGGTACTCCATCTGTTTTTGTAAACCACACAGGTCCAACCTGTGAGCAATGTATATATGCCTAGAGCGATTTGTAAGTATATCTCTATATTCAACCCATAAATGATTATGGATTGTACGCCTATTAGTTATTAAACTGTTATTTTCCATTGTTTACTACAAAGAAATTACGAGATTTTCATTGCCTGCCATAGATAGCTCAAAAGTTTTTGCACTAATTTTAAGCGGATATTGTTTGGATTTCACAAAGGGAAAATTATTCATTAATTTAATTTTCTAAAAGATTACACGACGATTTTTCGGAATAAACGTACGTTGATACCTAATTATCTTATATGTAATATCAGATTTAGAATTATTAAACTACAGTAAATGTTTTTAAGGTAACGAATATATGCTTTTACATCCATGAAATATTTTTATATTTCACTTCTTTTTCCACACAAGTACAATGAAATAGTATTTTAAACAATGGATTGACCTGATTCGGTGGATTTTAAATACTTTTTTTTCAAAGCTAGAAACAAATTTAAAAGTTTACATTTACTAAAACAAAAATTAACTTAATTTCCTTGGAAACATGTGATTTACCGCAAATCACATATTTCCAAGGAAATTATTTTTATAAATTATAAGGAAAAGGAAATCATTTACGTTAAATAATGTTAGTTTTTTGAAATTATTATTTATATTTTTTCGTCACTCTCCGTTACCTTCTACAACTTTATTTATTTAATATATATTTTTTTAATTCTCTGCTTTCTAACGATATTTTATACGTATATCTTCTGACTAGTATTGCCGAAAATCCATTTTCGACCTCAATACACATTTTCCTTTTTTTTCTCCAATTTTGAATTATCAAATTCTTTCAAAAGTAGTGTTTAGCATTTTTTCGTAACTCTTAATAATGAGAGATAGTTAATTATTTAAAATAAGTCAAACTAAAGGTAGTTTAGAGGAAGACATGCTGAACATTTAAGCATTTAAGCCCTGTAAAGTGACATCAATGAGGACAAAACCTCAATGATATTAAATACCACTTAATTATACAATGATACACTGATAATCAAATCGTTTGAGCCGTTTATGAGAAAATTGTAAAAATGTTTATAACCGTTGATATAAAGTGCTACTTCCGGTTTGTCGATTTGAATGAAAAAGTTGCTGTCACATCCAAAGCATATATCAGTTTCGTACGACTTTTCGTTTTTGGGCTAGACTTACCACATACATACACACACACAGACCATTTTGCGATACTTGGTTATTTAGACTCAGGGGACCTCAAAACGTGTATTTCCGTTTAAAACTCAGATTCGAAAATTTTCACCATCACAATGGTAAGTAAAAAGGTATAAAGCATACAAGAAATCTAATAAATCAGTGGATACTTTTCTTAAATTAAATATAACATTAACTGATAAATACTTTAGAATACCTACAATTAGCCAAGAATCTGCTTATTCCTACTGAAAGGAAGAAACTGTATGATAGAGAATCGTATTGAAAAGATGATTTCGTTGTTAAGAGTGCCCAAGTTGCAGTTCCAGTAAGAAATAAATTGCCAAACAGTTCAGTGAACTTCATTCTTTCAACATTCTTATTTCTTCACATTTTAAGATTTTATGGATGGTTTGATTCATTCAGTAATCTATCTTGAATTACTGACAGCTTATTATTCATTAAAAGATTTCCAAAAGAGAGTAAGAAAGCTGATCGTTTTTCCAGTGATGAGAACAACACCCATATTAACTCATTAGTTGCTCCTAGACATTTGGTTTCTTAATCAATTTTTATTTATTTATTGGATAACCTAAAAGTTTTAATAGCCACATGATGTTAATTCTCTCTGAGCATCTCAGGTGAATAAATAAGACGTAAATAAATAAATAAGAAATCCAGAGAAGTGTATTCCTTTCCTTTGATTAATTTTAATGTTAAAAATGGAAACTTTTCTGTTATGATTAATAAAGAAAAATATATACATAAATATATATACATGACCTTTTTTTTATTGGACTCAGTGGAAATAGTTTGGCAGAAATAAATATTGGGAAAAAAATCGTTCTGATCTTTGGTAGGTTTATTTGAAGTCAAATATAATTGTGCTAGGTTTGGACGCCAAATAAATTTACAACATTAAAAAACACAAATACTTTTCGGTCTGTTTCTATCGTTTTATAACTCAAAAATGCTGCTTCTTAGCAAAAAATGGTCTATTTCAAGAAATTAAAGTAAATATAACCTGTTTCAAATGTGTACCTAATAATATAAATTTAACACAGGAAAATACTGATGTTTAATTAGAAGAACTTCATAGTTAGTTTTATTAACTGTGGGGTATTAGATTGGGTTGAGCCAGTAGTTCCAGATGATCCACTTCATTTCTCAATGTGACCGGACAACGGAGAGAAAACGGAGCACTTTTTTTTAGAGTAGATCCTGTCTTGGGCTATTTATTTCTATTGAACTGCACGCAGCTCTGTTGCATCTGTATTGATTCTATCTATCCATCTGCTTTTTGGCCTTCCACGTGGTCTTTTGTCTTCTATTGAGGCATTCATTGTTACATAGAGGCTTCCAGAAGGATTGCTACATGCCCCGCCCATTTTAACCTCCGTGCCTTCATGTCATGGGATATTGATTGACCAGTTTCTGTAAGCTATTCTATCAATAATGTCTTTCTTTTCCATGAGTTAGTACTCTGATTCCAAATCGCTCCGGTTATCGTGCGGAGGAGTTTATTCTCAAACTCGTTCTAGAGGTGTTGGTTAGTGTCCAGATCTCACAGCCATATATTAGAACTAGCTTTATCATAGATTTCTTGAGATTTTTCGGGATTTCAATACCTTAGATAGGGAGAAGGAAACTCTGTTTGCGCTACTTATACGCTGGTCTAGTTCTGCCCGTTGGTCATTCATTGAGGTTATTGTGGAGCCGAAGTATTTGAATTTTTCTACTCTCAGGGATGATTATCCTTCTACACAGATCATATTATTGGATTGGAATTTTTGGCTTATTTTCGTATATTTTGTTTTGTCTTCATTTGCTTGTAGGCCGATCTGCTCTGCCTCTCTTATCAGTGTTGTATACCACGAGTTTCTCAATGTCTTCTTGATTACTTCCAAGGACAGCTATATCATCTTCGTATCCAGGGGTTTATGATTCACTGATGTTGCTCTTATTACCTTCTCCAGGGCTAAGTTAAACCAAATTAGGCCCTTATTCCAAGCTTCATGTTTCCTTTCCTCTTCCTATATTTTCTAAATTAGTTGTAGTAGCTTGATTCTGAAGTCGTCTCCTCCATCTTTAAACAGTTCTAATGATAGGTTGTCTGTCCCTGGGGCCTTTCTGATTTTGAGCCTTTGAGCTATTTGTACATCCAGTATATCTGGTTTTTCAACCGCTTCTGGGTCAAGGTCTTCAGTGCGGTTCACGTCTTGTTCGTTCGTGGGGTCTCCTTGATTGAGAAGTTCCTGGAAATGTTCTTTCCAGGTGTTCAATATACTTTCTTTAGATGCCGTCAGAATGACATCTTTTCCTCGCATTTGCGTATTTCTCGCTTTATATCCTACCTTTTCTTTCCTACTGTCTGGGTAGAATTCGCGTATATCTCCACACAACTGGCAAGTTGTTCTCAATGGTTTGCAATATTTCTTTGAAGAATTCCCTTTTTGCCGATCTTATAGTTTTGTTTACCTTTTTCTCGACAGCTGTGTACTTGTCCTGAGAAACTTGATCAGTTAGGCAGAGGACTTTCATTTTTCTTCTTTCCTCTTCTGCCTTTTGGCATGCTTCTGTGAACCATATCTTAGCTTTTCGTTTCTCCTGAATACCAACCATTTGCTTGGCTGTTTCTTCCTGTCCTTTCTCTATTTCCTTCAAGTGTTGGTCCACCGTGACCCAGCTATCCGAATCCAAGGGTTCGAATTTATTTTTAAGCTCAAGTTGGAATTTGGTTTTTACTTCAGGATTTTTCAAATTAAGGACTACATACCTCCTTCTTTCTACTCGATCCTCTGTTGTGTTAATTCACTTCAATCTCTGACATATTTTAATTCTAATCAGAGAGTGATTCGAATCACAGTATGCTCCACGATAGCTTTTTACATCTAGCACTAGCGAATTCAGGATTTAATTTTGGGGGGGCTTCAGTCCGAAAGATTTTTTTTTTTCGTATATATATATATATATATATATATATATATATATATATATATATAACGATAATTAATTTAAACAAGAAAAATTAAGAAACGTAACTACCCATATGACATAGTGTCTTAGTTATTCTTGAAGTCCTATTAAATGTAATCACACGAACAATAACAATTTAAGATATAGTTTTTAATATTTTTTTCTATAAAACATAGTTATATTTTACCATTTTGGGTGGGGGCTTCAGCCCAAAAGCCCTCCTCTCGTAAATCCAGCTGTGACATCTAGTATTGAGCTCTGATCTCTCTTGTCTACCAGCACATGGTCAGTTTGGTTTTTCACTCCTTTAGGGCTAACCCAGGAGAACTTGTGGATATCCTTGTGTTGGAATATTGTACTGCTGGCGACTAGATCTTCAGATGCTGCCAGACTGCCAGACTCACTCCATTAGGGGCGAAGGGGGGAGGGGCGAATGTGCTAACGCGTGTGCACAGCACCGTGAGTTGCCCGACAACCAGATAAACTAAGTTATGAGATTAAAAAAGTACGAGTTCGCGTCCCGGTGCCTAGGGGTTTTTTAAATCTCCCACCCTCATCCCCTAGCCCGGGAATACCCCCGTATACCTAAAAAGAGGAGGTAGGGGAGAAAAAGAAAAAATCTTCTCACTCCATTGTCATTGTTATTTTCTTGTAGGCTTTGGCCTTCGATAATGGACCTGAATTGGGGTTCATGTCCTATCTTTGCATGAAAGTTACCTATTACTTTATAGGTGAATTTATAGGATGGGTCCATCCTATTCAAGTTGGGAAAGGAGTCCAGAAAGTTCTGCCAGGACAATCAGTATGTATGGCAGCTTGGCACTGTCATCAGGATGCTCGGGCAGTGTTACAATGACATTTCTAAAATAGTAAATCATGCTGGTGATCTTAGTTTTGTAAAATAAAGCATAATTTGGTTTATCGGTCTATAATATCAGATATTTTTGTTACGTTTTATGTCAACTCAAATGTAGATATAACTCATAATCAGTCAGTTTATATAACTCACAATTGCCAGTTGAGGATCCAGGATTTACTTTTGAGCCACCCTAAGCTAAGCTCATCGATCTAACCAATTCGCCTAGTTTAGAGGTGGACCTTTTGTTATCAATGTGCTCAGATCTGTGCTTAAAAATTTGCCCTTTGCTAGCCCCCCCTACTATTCTATTTCTTAAATTTTTATGTGGATTGTGGGTCGTCAGTTAATGAATCTTTAAAAATAAATCTTTATATATTTTTTATTAAGTCACAAATATTTTTAGAAGTCTTTAGATTTATTTTTCTTTATCTATAAACATAGTAATTTAGAATTCAGATATTGATAATTTAAAAATAAACATCACATCAGCTGTTTAGTAGTGTTTATAGGTTTGCCCCGGCGTAGTTTAAATTTCATAACATTTATGTTGAACAAGTTTTATTTTCATTGCATACACTTGATAAGAGTTTTATTGAAATATGTTTAAAATGATATAATATGTTGAGATATAATTTTAAAGAACTATGTCTTCCCCTTCGGCAATTTCTTATCCTTCAGCTGTTGCACACGCAGTTTTAAGTTTCTCATCAGCTTGGGCAATATTTCAAGTTCAAGAATACTCTTTTGCCATCATTGGTTTTAGTTTGTACCTTATCAATGGAGTTTTAGGCATGTTGGCCTATGGTAAGTAATCCTTTAAAGTTGAAGAAAATTACATCTAAACTCTGTTATATACATTCCCTCTCATAAATGAGATAATTTACATTGTATTTTAGGAATGCCACATAGTGGTATTAAACTGTACAAATTCTACTCTGGTGTTCTTCTCTGCTGCTTATCTTTTGGGCTCCCTCTCTTTGTATCACAGCTCTACATTAATAATGGTTTTCCAGAAACTTTAGCTTTAATACACTTCATACTTCCTTTGGCTTGCATATATACTTCAGGTCGCTTCAAGAAATACAATGGCTTCCAAGATTCTGTTCAATTCTTGTACCTTTTATTTCTTGTTTATATCAGCCTTCTCAAAGGCTACTACTATGGTATTTCATCGGCTCTAAGCTTCCTAATTGCTTTTTATATAATTGGGCCTACAGGAACAGTTCAAAATACTCCTTCTCGCGATTTATTTAACTATGCATTATCATTTTCTGTTTATTTCTTAATTCAAGCCCTTCGGGGACGTTGAATGTTGGCAAGTTTTAAAAATATTTTTTCATTAGCTTGTGATTGTGATATTACAATTTGTAAATTGTTTTTCAGCTATTGTTGTACCAAATACTTTACCGAATTCATATCCATCAACTATGGTTGCTACATTTCTACATACATAATTGTATAAATAGATATATTTTACTACTTAAATATTGATTAAAAATAGTGGTGAAACGAACTATATTTTATATATTAATACTGATCTGTACTGTGAAAACTTGTCCAATTCAAATTACTTGTGATAATCTTAAGAGTGATTAAATATTGTGTATTTTATCTATGCTATTCAGCTATTTCCATTTGTTATTGAAGAAAAGTATATATTACTTTTAATTTTATAAAATATATTTTACTGGATAATATTGTACTACAAGCTAATTTTGCTATGTGTATATATTTGTATATACCACTAATATATCTCCATATATGCTAACAATTGTTGGCACTACTAAATACTGTTTATTTAAGATATGAAAT